AGTTCTTGTACTGGCTCTGAAAACATGTGGTCCAAGCAAGATGCAGATGTTGAGTAGCAGAACCAGCCAAGGCTTTAGGAAGCTTATGATCAGACTGTACTTCACCAAGCTTGCTTTCTCTTCTGAAAACACATTGCAATTTCTCCACTGGGATACAGGTTCCATTTTTCAGGACCATTTAAAATTTGTGCTTCAAGGAAAATGTGGATGAAAAAGATTGTGAGGAAGGCATAGGTTAACATGAAAAGGAAACAGACACAGCTAAGAGGATGAGAACTTTTGACTCTTTTTTTCCCTCTTATGTTCTCCAGGAATTTTTCAATGAGGATAGAAATACAAAGTGAGTTAACTGTCAATTAATCCTACATAATTTATGTAAGTAGATAAATGAGAAAGATGTAATTAGACAACCGAGTCTTTATACGATTAGACTAAGGAGTACATGCTGTTCTAGATACTATGGATGAAACTGCTGGTTAAAATATAGGCATAAAGAACTTTCTTGAAGATACATTAGTTCATCAACATGTGGCTTGGTGATTGACTTTGGTTACTAAAATTGCAAATGGTCTTTGGCTTCCTTAATGGTTTGTATTTTTCAGTTCTCATAAGGAACAGATATTTATTTTATAATGAAAATGTTGAATATATGTATATATATATATTACTATACAAGATATGAAAGTTTCATTGAATTTCTCTACTTTGTCTGTTGTAATGGGCTCTTATTCTGGTTGTTTCACAGCATTTGCTCTGGGATTTGCATTTTCTCTCATTTTCACCCATTATTTGATTCCAGGGAACATGTCCTGTGCCTGACATTTCTGTAAGATAGCAAAGAAAAGACAAGTCAAGTCCTCCTCAGCATTAAGGCCTGTTAGCAATTCTGAGTTTTCCATTACTTTACCTAGATTTTCACTGCACCCTTTTCCTTTCCGCTCATCTTTCTAGTAGTTCAGTTGTCATATATTCAAAGTTTGAGCCTCTTGATGTCCACGCCATTCTGGCTCATGTGTTGGATCCTATAAGATTTCTCTTCTCCTAAGACCTTGTTTACTAGAGGATACTCTGTCTTCCGTGGATTATCACCAGCCTGCTTCATCCCATATCTCAGTACATATTAACTGAAGCTTCTGTACTATTGTGTGTACATTTTAGTGCTTTCTGGGTAGCCTCAGAAACAAAACAGGCATCAGTTTAAATCTAAGCCCCATTTTTTTTTTTCGGTACTGGGGATTGAACTCAGGTCCTTGTGCCTGCACAGCAGGCGGTGAAACCACTAGCACCATTTTTTTGGTATATTTTTACTTAAAGCATAAATATTTTGGGGTGCAGATATTTTTCTTGCTACTAATCAAGAAATACCAAAAGTAGAATGATTAAAAAATACATTTCCAAATCTGTAACCTGTACTTCACCAACTCTTATGTTACTGAAGATGAAGCTGATAGTAGTAGTAGTGGTATTAATGGTAACAGAGATTAAGCACCATTATAGATTAGGCTTTATACTGGGTGGTTTGTACTCATTATTCTTAATTTTACATCTAATAGCAGTCTGTGAGACAGATATCATTGTTTTTACTCCCACTTTATAAAGAGACTGAATCACAAAAGTCAAATAAGCATCATTCTCACCTGTTTAGTAATAACTGGAGTAGACTCAGACTGAACACAGGTCTTTATGACTTTAATGTTTATTATTTATTAATCCGCAAGTTAAAGTGTTCTTTTAGAACAGTACTCATATAATAAGGAAGGAGTCACATACATATTAATTGGTTTTCTCTTTAGTCACTTACTTGATGATGTTAATTTTTCTTCTTTCCAGCAGGTGTTGGTAGCTTGAGAAGATCAAAGACTTTACCATAGAAACACCGCTTGAGTTAGGTCTATAATGAAGTAAAGGAGATTGAATATTAGCACACATACACAAGTAAAAGGCAGGTCTCTGTTACCCTTTCTTCACCTCTCCATCCCTTTTCCTATACAATCATGCTGTTTCTCAGCTAGTTTTACTAAAAAAAAAAGTTCCCTGAGAAAATGCCTAGTTTTATCTTGATAAACTTGCTCATAATTTTGTAATTCAGATTTCTATTTTAATTTAGTAGTCCTAAAAGTACAGGGATATACAACACAAAGTTATAGCTGAGTTCAGATTGCCTTTCTCTTAAATCTTTAAAAATATCAGATCATTTGTGTCTGCTTAAAATGAGCTTTCTGTTTTAATTTAAATGGAATAAAATTCCTCTCTATTTATCAGAGAATAATTTCAGAATTTATCCAGAGTTTCCCATCTGCAGACTCATATTTTCTACACTGAGCCCATCCCTGATCCCCTGGCTGGACTACTTCCAGGGGTACCTGTTGTGGGCACCAGGTTGACTGGCTCTACCTAAGAGCTCTATAATGACAACCTGTAACCCAGTCTGTGAAGTAGTATTGATGACAGAATGGTCTGCTCCTAGATGACCTGCCATTACACTGACCATTCATATGAACCTCTGAGCTGGAAAGTCAGTTTGATCAGGCATAGCTCACCAAGTAACACTTGAGCCTCCACACTGGGAAGGGATGGCACCGGACTTCCTCCTAGGGCCTACGTTCTAGGAGTAACCCTACCTGCGTGGTCGACCCTTGCCCAAGCTAGGAGTTATACCAATGTAATCTGCAGATTTTGGGGTGAAACATGCACATAAATATCCCCTTTCCTTTAATAAGTGGATCTATTCCAATAACAACTGACTTACCTATGAATACGTTGTACAAATTTATCTGGTTTTACCTGTGATGATCCCCTGCATGTCTCATTGGATTTGTCATGGTACAAAATCCTCTTTCTAGCTCCACTGGAAAGAGTGAAAATGAGATAGCTCTCAGGTATTTGCCAATGACTGTATTTATTTGGGAGAGGGGTGGGAGGAGGAGATATATGTATGCCTGTGCAAGGGTCCCACACTTGGATTGAATATATATATCTTCACTGCAGCCTCTGTCTTAAACTGTATTTAGCTCTTCAGGGCCATACATCTTCAAAATTCACCATTGTGCCAGCCCAAGAATGAATTTTAAGTATCTCCAGAACTATGTTATATATCAAACTATTTGTTTGTGCCTGTGCATAAAGACTAAGCTAGTCAGCAATATAATTTGCTTATTGTAGATAATAGCCTCTTTTAAAAATCCAACAGTACAATGTATTTTCCTAAATGCTTACAGTTCTCAGGTATAAAAAGTATCACTGTGCAAGTTTAAATAACTATAACACTAACAGAATTATGTTTTATTCTTACCTGCCTATAAAAAAATGAGGGTTTTTTTTGTTTTCACCTGTGTCTCAGAATAAATTACAAGATGCAGAATTTCAATGCTGTCATTTACTTTATTTAAATAAGCTAGGTTTTGCCTAATAGATGTAGTATAATCATTTCTATTAAAGATATTGAATAAATTGTTTTACTCTAAATTAAATAATCTGTCATATTTACTCTTGATTTATTGAAGCATTTACATCCCTGTGAAGCTGTATGCAGCTTCATGGAGCTCCATTTATGTTTCTTTCTAGTCCTTTTGACACTGGGTGGATATCCACCCACAAATACACTTTCAATCTGATTCTAGTTTTTTTTTTTTTTTATCACTCCTTGGTCCCTCTGTGCAAACCCACTCTGATATTGTCCTTATTCATCATCAATTCCATCTTACATTTTGTCCTCACATCTAAAAATCCCTGAATCCATCCCACATGTCACCAAGATCTCATTAATACCTTTTTCCCTCCTGTATTGTGCTTCTGTTTCTCTGGTCTATGGCCTCATCACTGCTTTCTTAGAATTTGACTCACTTCATTTGTCCCATTAAACAGTTTTTCTGTCCTACTCATATCCTTTCCAGTTTATTTATGCAATGTGGCTAAAATAATACTCCAAAAATATAAATCTATTAATGTCTCCTCCCCAGTCCAAATCTCTTACATGGTGCCCCATGTTCCCCCATTTCTCCCGACTTCCTTTTCACAAGTGCTCTTATGCAGAGCTGGAGCTTCCCACACTTGGCTGGGTCTGCAGTGCTCACCCAGCCTAGGATGCCCTTCTTACCTTTGTATTCCCCTTCAGCCTTCTGTCTTGAACAGACTATGAAAGCCAATGGCTTGCTCCAGCTAGTTTCATGCTGACCAAGTAAATCACTTCCTCCTTCCCATTGCCTACATTGTTATGTATACGTCTGATGCTTAACCACTCACTCCATTCTGGTGCTGTCTTTGCAAACCTGTTTTTCTTTCTTTCTTTCTTTCTTTCTTTCTTTCTTTCTTTCTTTCTTTCTTTCTTTCTTTCTTTCTTTCTTTCTTTCTTTCTTTCTTTTCATGAAACTGAATGCCTGGTGACTAGATATTCCTAGCCATCTTTTAAGTTCCAGAGCCTACTACAGAACCTGACACTTGCTCAATGATTTCAATTCTCTCCAGACATTCTCAGTATTGGATCATAGGTCCCTAGAACGGGGTTGGGGGACTGGATGTTGGTTTTTGTATACTCTGTCCTTGTCTTTTTTAGCTCAATTAAGAGTGCAGTCTTAAGGAGTCCAGTGTCTTAAGTTTCAGTCCTCTATGGAACAGCTAACTTTGTCCCTCAGTTCAATAATCTTAAATAGTTGTCTAGTAATTGCCATTGCCATTGGATCTAGGGAAATGAGGAGAGAGGATAGCTAAGTTCGAGGAGAGAGGATAGCTAAGTTCAAGGCAAGTTCATCTCAGCTGCTACAAAAACTGATTAGATGTCTTCTTTATAAGTGTTAAAAGCATGATTTTGCAATCTAGTGTGAAATGAAAGCCTTTGGTCCACAGCCCCATACACTGACATGTTTGACTTGAAGGTGGCAGAAGTACCACCCGGTCATCAGAGCTTTGCTGTGAGAACAGGTAATCACCCATCCTCGGATGGTTAGGATTGTCAGCTTGTAATCTCCTGTCTACCCACATGCCTGTCCATGCTTGGCTTCCAGGTGAGACCATGCGGATTGCCTCCTCCGAGTTTGCTGATGATCCATGCTCGTCAGTGAAACGTGGCACCATGGTGCGGGCAGCAAGGGCACTGCTATCGGCTGTAACACGCTTACTCATCCTGGCGGACATGGCAGATGTCATGAGACTTTTATCTCATCTGAAAATTGTACGTATGTAGAATTTATCAAAACTTGCTGCATAAATAAGGGTGACATTCTTGATCACATATCCTGAACTCTGCTAGAGATGTATGTGCTGAATATATTGTGTTATCTGCTCCAACTTTGTCCTTCTGTGTAGGCATGGAGTTTGAGTCTATTTGGGTATGACAGTGAAAAGGTGCCCCACCCACCCTTCCATGGCTAGCACCAATCTTGTACAAAGGTTGCCATCTAACATGCCTGGATTGGGTGTCTGGGCACATTGCCATCCTATAGAACCCCATCCCAAATATCTTACTAGTCATGGTTGCTTTCATTATTTATTTCCTAGTGGAAGTGTAGCCCTCCTTGGTCACAGATTTTACTGGAAAAGTGAGCAGGGAAACCTCTCGAGTCCCTCAGAGCTGAGTCTTTCTCTGTTTTCCTAGTTGCTGAATGGAATTTAGTCACAACAAATATGATATAACACAGTTGCTCTTCCTAGGAACTCCCTATTTCATGTCCTCAGTGGATTTAGTTCCTAGACAATTGGCACTAATCCTGGACTTCTTACATGATCGGATATGAACCACAGGCTTACTTTTTTGGAGCCCACCAATTGCTTGTTCTCTTCATAGCCCTTGGAATTACTGGCTGACTATGTTCACTGTCAGCAGACCCTTAAGATTTTGTTTTCTTTGTCAGTGAAATGCAGCAGGTCACAATGAGGGGGCAGGTGAGATAGGAAATGAATAACAAAAGGCTGCTCACACGTTAACTTTTAAAAATTTGTTCAGTAGGATGAAGGATCAAGAAATTTCTTCAATCCAAGTGTCTGTCAGGAAATCTTAGGCAGGGTCTTTATCTAAGCTGGCATCAATCAAAAGCCCAAGGTTTACAAGTTACACTTAAACTCCACAGTATTTTAAAGAATCTTAAATTCTAACACTTCTAGCCTGCATTGCATGGTCATAAACCATAAAGCAAGGTATAGCTAGGTCTTCATGGTTTCTATATAGGTTCCTGAGGAGCCAAAGGACACAAAGAGGAACCTGCTTTGAGTTTTCTCTCAGATTTTTCTCAGAGAATAGGCCAAGGAAAGTTCTTGCAAACTAGATGAGGTCAGCAATTTTAAGAAACAACTCACCTACTCCACAACATAGCAAGGAGCGGCATATTACTGAGATTGAGTGTTGGACTGTCGGAGTCAGACCTACAGGGTTTAATCTTGGCTGGATCCCCACTTGCCACCTGTGTTCAAACATACCACATCACTTCTTACTTCGCAGATACCTCATCTGTTATATTGGCACTAATTGTAGTGCTGCCCTCAGGCAGGGAAGAAGTTTGAATGGGGGAAACCTTTAGGAAGCACCTACCATGGATTTTGGCATACAGTGAATGTTTGGTAAATGGTGGCTGTTTATTGTAAGATCCCCGGAACCACCTACAGGCCACAGCACTGGTTATCCTTTCTCCACTCACCTCTGCTATATGCATATTTTAGGCTACAAAATAACTGGTTCTCTAGTGTGTTGGAGAAAAGGTGTTATCTTCACCTTAAAGCCTACTTACTCTTCAAAGGCAACATTTGAAGAAAATTCTTTCCCCAGAAGAACAATCTTTCTTTACCTGAGTGAGAATAGGATTGAACGTAGGGAAATCAGTGCTGAATTCCACATATCATTGTTGGTGTGCCGTGGAAAGTCCTGGTCAGGGACTAGAGGAGACACAATGAGCTCAATATTCTCTGTGAGCTATCTGCACCAGCAAAGTGCTCATTAGATCTGAGCTTGTAATATCATGTGTGGTACCCATTGCTGCCTGCAGTCTTGCTTCTCTGCCCACCTGTTCTGACCAGGGCTGACTGCTGATAACATCACTGCAGTTTATTGTAATCTAGAGTCAATTGCATGCTCTTCTCTATGCAGCAGATTAAGGGAAATTTAAAAAAAAGGATTTAGCACAAAATCATGTAAAGGTCAGCCCAGCAATATTAAGTAGTCCTGTCAGACTGTCAGTAGTAAAATTTAAAATGATTGTAGACTAAATAACACATTTGATCTTAGACTGCAGCCTCTGAGATGAGCAGTACTGGTGGAATGTTGCTATCTTGTGGAGTAAGTGAGGAACTACAATTCTTGGTGCTGTGACGGAATGATGCAGGCTGTGGTCCAAATCACACTTTAGATTCACATTAGTCTGGGTTTAATCTCATGAAAGTAACACCTTAAACCCTAAAAAGACATTGTGTTGACACAGTCATGATAAATGAACACAGTACACAACTGTGCTTAGTAGTGTGCTTGTTCTTCCTAAAGAAATACTCTCTCCTAAAGTATTGAAAGCAGCCATTTATTTATTTTTTAATTTAGGATGAAGAACATGTCAAATTGCTTGTTTTGATGTAGCAGGTTAGAAACTAATACCTTCACCTTTAGAGGTTGTCTAAATAATGATTTTTCTTCCCCATATGGATGATAAAACATCAACGAGGAGAAAAGAGTGACAAGTGCTTTCTATAAGTCCAGTGACTCCTAGTTGTTGGGTAAGGTTGAGAAATATCCTTTAATAAGTCCCACAGCTTCCTAAAGTGTTAAGTACTGTGTAGCTATTGTATCTTTAAGCATTATGCATAGTATTTTACTTTTTATATATGCTAAATTTTTATTGGTGTTCTTTCCAGCTATTGATTAATTTACAGGAATACAGAAGAATTACCTTCTTATCAGAAACTTATATTAATTGTTTTTCCATAAATAGTTCACCAACAATCAGTGAAGGATTTTTAGTTTATTTTTCTCTAATATCCATCTTCCTCCTCTGCCCTTTGCCCCAATATATATAACCACTGGGGGGAAACTGAGGGATCATGATCAGATGTCATTTGGCTTCAACAAAGAGTGAAGTATCCGGGTCCTGGCAGAATTACATGGTTTGTCAGTGTACATGCCTTTGCAGTCTGCTACCTTAAAATTTTGTTTGTAAACTTAAATTTGTGTGGTTATTAAGAAGTTTATATAAAACATGCAGATATTTTGGTTGTCTGCATTATATCCTTGTTATATCAAGCAAAGATTTTATGTGCTTGAATGTTTAGATTTTTAAAAATATATTAAAGATTCAAATGACTGCACAAAGTTTCTGTTGCTACTGTTTGAATTCAGGTGGGTGCAGATGAAACAGAGGGAGGCATATGATTTGAAAGCTAAGTTATCATCCAAATGGAGATTTGATGTTCATGATCAAAGCTGAAGTAATCATTTCTACATCAGACACTATTAAAAATACTGGATTATAATCACTTCTATTGTTGAAGTTGCTGGTGAATGATGCCCTAGCCAGGCACCTGGTACACATGCAATCAGTTGACATTGTCAGTGTGTTTGGCTTCATAATTTTGAAGGAATCCTGCATTTGAATCAGCAATCATTAAGAAGGTTATCTTTGCTAGGCTCTGAATTAATGTAATCAGATTATATTGTAAATTATTAACATTATCTATACACTCATCTAGGCATGTATATGCTGGAGGAAATAATGGAACTTTTTTCTATCCTAAGAGTAGATCCTAGAATAATGATTTTCTTTTTAATTTTTTAAAATTTAAATGTATGACAGTAGATATTAATAAAGAAAATATAGAAAAGAACTCTTCTTACTTCTATGAAAAATTACAAGAAAATATTTTGTTATAAAATATTTAGAGAATATCAAAAGTTAATACACTGTGTATCATAATCTTAAAAGAATGACCAAAATGTTAGTCAGACTAAATCATAGACAAAGATTCTGTTTTACAAAGAAGAAACAAGTAGATAAAAGCACAGAATATTCTTTTCAATGAACTGAGAGAAACTAGTAGTATAAATGAAACAAAAAAAGAATAGATAATAATGATATTCTTGATTACCTGAGAAATTTTCTCTAGAGAATAGAATAAAAATTAGAAATCAATAATCCCTTAGTTTCTTGGGGAAGTCAGATGCTAATGACTACCAGAGGCCACATCTAGTGTTGATGCTTCATTGTTTGGAAGAATTGATAACACAAGGTTACATTAACCTTACCTGTGCCTTTTGTGACTTAAGCATCAAATAATGTTCCATAGCCTCAGTAATTTATTATTTCTCAGTAGTCTGCCACTTAGTTCTGATGCTCTAATGTTGGCTTTTATGTCTGAATGACAACTAATTGGTATAAAATAGCCTTATTTCTGCTTACAAATACAGAAATATGACTGTTTATCATATCATTTCTGTTCAAGCTATCATGATCTTAGCTTCATGCACCTTTGTTCATAACAGACTTATTCAGTATTTTTCAAGAAATACTCATTGAAAGCTTGCTCTGTGCAAAGCACAGTAAGATACATAATTTCAAAGGTGACTTGGCTCCTGCCTTCAACAATTTGTATGTTCATAGATGAGACATTAAGGAAGAATGTAGTGCATGTAGGCAATGTGTGCATAGTGTTACAGTCTCACTCAGAAGCCTGATATAATTAAGATGCTTTCTCTTGTAAAAAGCAGAAAACCTAACTTAACTATTTTCTCTTTAAGGAATATTTTGGCTTACCCAAGTAAGAGTCCAGAGGTAATAGTTTCAGTTAAGTTTTGATCAAGGTACAAAAATGTAACAAAGACCACATTTCTATCTCCTTTCCTCACTGAGTTCTTTAGTCCCTTCAGATTCTTACAGTCTCAGAGTAGCTTCTTCTCAAGGTTATATCCTCCTCCACTAAAGATAGCATGAAAGAGAAAATTCTCTTCCTTGATAGCTCAAATAAAAGCTGCACATTATCGTTAGCCTTGATTGGCCTCTGAATCATGTGTGTATGTACACTGATTTAATTCTTTAGAGGGGAAATGGGACATGCTGATTTCTTAACTTAGGCCCCTCCTCATCCTTCACCAAAAGCTAGAAAAAGGGTCAACTACACCAAATTTTATTATTAGACAATTAAGGATAATATGAAAACGTATAGTGTGGCTAGGAGGGGAAGGCCTTGAAATTGGGTCTCATT